GAGCTGGCATAAGGAAAAAGCAAACGTGCCAGGCTGGAAGGCTGGTGCGGAAGAGGGAAGTCGGGGCACTCTGACACCCTGCTGTCTGAAAAGGGGGAGGCGCCCGTGTGCCTTGGGGGACCCAGGTCCTATCCCAGCACCGTTCAGAGAGGACATTTTACCTGGGCCCAGGGTGAGGACGTGGGCTGACCCAAGGAGAGGTGCCCTCCCCACGGCCACTGCTCCCCGGAGATCGCGAGGCAGGCTGGTCCCGACGCGTGGACCTGATGGGCCGCCTTGGAGCACGCCTATTCGGAAAGAACGGCGCTGTGGGTGAGCCGTGGAGAGCAGAGCGCTTACATCTCCCGTCTGAGGTCAGTCCCATGGAAGCAGGGCTGGAGCGCAGAATCTGGTCCCGGAGACCCGGCAGCTCCTGGGAGGAACCTGTAGGAAGTGCAGGAAGCAGCCAGGCTGGCCTCAGCCTGACCCCGGGGAGCACCGCCGTGTGAAGAGGACCTGGGGTTGGACGCCCCACGCCCCCACACCCGGCCCGGGGCTGCTCTGAGACCCGTGTCAGCCCGTCACTGGCCCGGGGGGGCTGCCTAGGGAGGATGGGCCCGGGGGGCCTGTGCCGGCCAGCACATCGGCACTAGGGAGCTGGCTTCCATGGTCGGGGGGATGCCAGCAGCCCCCCTTTGCACCCTTTTTCTGGTAGGACCCTTGTGATGGCCCAGTGGTCAGGCCAGCAAGGACTGTTCCATTTCTGGAGCAAACGAGGCGACTCCAGAGTCGAGTCCGGGTTCTCTGACCCCATCTGCAGCTCCTCCTTCGGGCCTTGTGTACCTGAGGCCTTCCTGGTTCCAGGGGTTCAAGGGCAAGTTGGGGCCCAGGAAGACGGGAGGGAGGGAAATAGCTGGTCCTTCTCAGGGCACTGTCTGCTTTGGGCCACGGCGCCCTCATGGCCTGCCTTGCCCTTGGGCCCATGCTGCTGCAGGCTGGCACAGGAAGCCCCGGTCCCTGCGGACAGGATGGGGCTCATGGCCTGAGGCTCGGCTGGGCAGGGGGGCAGGAGGCGTGTGCAGGGAGATGGGGCATCTGTTGAGTTCAGGTGAGTCTCCCAAGGGATGGGGGGTTTGGTTTTCAGCTGGCAGCTCAAGGAGGAGTTGCCCTGAGCTGGCGAGGGGCTATGACCTCTTTGCCCCTCGGCAGGGTGGGCACTTGGGGCTGGGTGTGGCTGGAAGCGCCTTGGGGTGCTCTCCGCCACCCAGGTCTGGTGGGCCTCTGCCTGCAGTGAGGGCTGCCTGGAGTTCCCTAGAGGTATCCAGCAAAGATCCGCACCAGAGAAGGGGGCCCTTGCTCCTGACTGCAGAGCCTTGGGGAGACTGGGTGGGCGGGTGGGCTGCAACACGGCTGGATAGACCCGAGATCCGGCAGGTCTGATGGAAGCAGCTTGGCTTTCTGGGGCTCCACTCCAAAGCCACTCCAGACGCTTGGACTGGGGTGCTGACAACTGTCTCCAGCCTCTAGCCTGAGGCCACATGGATGGTTCTCTCTGGAGTTTTGTTACCTAGGCAGGCTTGTGCCTAAGTAGGCGGCCCAGCCTACTGGCCCAGGGCTGGGCTTCCAGAGAACAGAGTTTGGCGTAGGGGGACTGTCTGTCCCCGAGCAACCACTTCACGCTGGAATGATGTGTTCACATGGTGCTTTGAACTCGTCCTCGGCTTTGCCGCTTTCCTCAGAGGGCTGCCCAGGCCTCCGACAGGCCTGTGCAGCATTCTTCCTTGGGTGCAGAGATCTTGGGGAGCGTGAGCTGCCGGGAGAGGCTGGGTGGGACCCGGCCCCCAGAGCCTGGTAGGCGCAGCACCACGCCCTGGATGTTGGCATAGGATGGGCTCTGCTGGGTTGGAGCCTGGGCAGGACCCATAACTGCCCCATTGTGACGGTCACATTCCTCCCCAGCAGGTGGGGCTGGGATGCTCTGCAGAGGGGTCTTGGTTTTCACCGTGGCTGCAGCAGCTGAATTTTGTCAACAATGTTTTCAAGGTGACACTGGCTCTGTGGCCAAGGAGGAGGTGCCTTTGAGGACTTTCAGAGGGTGGGGTCGGGGCATCCCGGGGTTTGCTGTGACAACAGTCACCAGCCAAACCTTGCAGCTTCTTGTCCTCCCTCAAAGCAGAAAGGAGCCAGTTATTCCAGACAGCCAGGATGGCGGGTGGGGGTGGGGGGGCAAGTAGCTCTCATGCCCTTGGTCCACCCCTCGTTTGGCCCAGAGGTTGGAGGGCCTTGTCTGAAGTCGTCAGGCCTGTGTGTGGCAGAACCTAGGACTGTAACAGCAGCCTCTCTGACCTCAGTCCTCTCCCGCACACACTCGAGGCAGAAGCCGCGTCTCAGAAAGGCCCCAGCAAACCAGGGTCCCCGGCACCCTGCTGCTGGTGTGGCTGCTGCGTAACACGATTCGTGCCAGACGCACCGGCACCGCTGCTGTAAAGTCAGGCACCCCACCCCCCCATGCCCCCCCACCCCCGCCTCCTGCACCTTCGTCAGCACCTGGGGTCTGGCTGCTTGGCAGGCAGGATGCTCGGGAGGAGTTCCGGAAGACCCCGCTCTCGTGGTACAGCTCCCAGGAAGCAGGGAGGCCCGCTCAGGTCCTACACACGGAGGGGAGCGTCGTGGCCGTTCCCCCAGGGCTGCGAGCCCCAGGATCTCAGCCTCACCTGTGACCCACTCACAGCACACCGGGCTCACACGCGACGCCACTGTCTACCACTGGACTCAATGGCCACTCACCGCCACGCCTCCGGTCTGCCACGTCCACGGGGCGAGAGACCGTCCGGCCGCGCGGGCGTTTAGATCTGGCTCTCCTGGGGGCAAGAGACTGCCCGGCCGTGCGGGAGGTTTAGATCTGGCTCTCCTGGGCCTCCCTGTGGAGTCTGGGGCCCGATGTCCCTTCCGGGGCTGGGCCGGCTTGCGTCCCTTCTCCTGCCCCCACCTGGTTCTCCTCTTGTCCCGGCTCAGGTCTGGGCCCGTCCAGAGGGTGGCTGGGAGGTGGAGAGGCCTCAGGGACCTCCCAGCTGGGGCTTCTCCCCAGGTTTGTGTTCTGACCCTGGGGACATGAAGGATCTCGGGGGCCGTTTTGCACAAGGAGCTGTCTCCCAGCAGCAGAGCAAGCATGCCTGGTGAGGACGAGGGCCCTCTGAGCCCCACGCAGCCCAGCAGGGGCACTGTGTCCCTAGGCTGGCTCCTACCGCGGTCAGGGCCAGCATCGCAGGTCTAACGGGTGGCCTGGCTCTTCTCTCCTCAATCCCCCCGCACCCCCCAGCCTGCCTTTCTCAGTTAATCAGAAGATCCCAGGGCAAGCAGACCCACCAGAACCGGTTGCTCCACGGTGTGGGCGGGAGCAAGGTGAGTGCGCACAGCAGGCCCGCCACCTTCCTCCAAAGAGAGTGCCTTTTCTTTTCCGTTTGCCCAGCCTGCTTCAGCAGCTCGTGCGCCGAGACAGCCGGTGGTCGTCTTTATTTCAAAGCGACACACAAACCCTGCTGTCTGGGAATGGACCCGGGCCCTCGGGGACGGGCTTGTGACCTCGGCACCTGCTGGCGGGTGGTGCTCCCCACGCCCCCACCTCCCAGAGCCCGGGTTCCCCCCCACCGCTGCCTCCGACGCACCTCCCTTTCTGTCTCGTCCCCAGGAAGGGGCTGGGTTGCCTCTGGTCCTGTGCGGGTCTCGTGCTCAGCTGTGAAAGCAGGCATGTAGCTGAGCCCACTTGTGTGTGGTGCCGGCTGCCCCCTCTTGTGAGTGAGTGGGGTCGCATCCAAGCTGTGCTTGCCTTGGGCGGGCCCAAGCTGCCTCCTCCAGGCCGGCCACACGCAGAGGCAGAGCTTGGTGGGCACGGAGCTCTTGGCTCTTGCTGGGGCCTCAGATGGCCCTGCGGGACAGCTAGGGACCTCCTCTCACAGAGGAGGCTGCTGAGGCCTAAGGGTGGCTGGGGGAGGTCTGCCCGCGACCCCCAGCTGTAAGCCCGACCCTGCTCCCTGCGGGGCTGCAACATCCACCACCTGAGGGCCCGGGAGCCCAGGGCCCCGTGTGGAACCGGCCCCCTGGGCGACCGCCACGTGCCCCACATGAATGTCAACCCCACCCTCCTGGCCCATGTCCCATCCCCGCCACGGCGAGAAGGCAGTATGGCCCCCTGCGCCGCCTGGCAGCGTCTCCCTCTGCGTCAGTGGACCCACTCCTGCCAGGTTCTTCCAACGGCTCAAGAGCCTCCCTTGGCCCCAGAAGACACGCTTTACGGAACCAGCCTCACGGGGAATTTGGTCACTCCCTTCTTTTCAGTGTAACGGTGTGATGAGGCACATTTGTGTCGCTGCGTCCAAACTGTTTCCTTTCGATACAAATCCTAGAGGTGAAACTGCCACTTTGGTTTTTCAGGAAGGTTGCGCTGAAGGCCTCTGAGCCCGCCCCCCACACTCCCTACTGCAGCACCACCATCCCACCGCCCCGCCCCCGCCCCGAGAACTGGATGTTAGGCAGTTTGTGCTCTTTGCCAGTTTGTAGATGAATAACTGCACTTTGCGACTTCCCTGGTGGCTCACGACAGTAAAGCGTCTGCCTACAATGCGGGAGGCCCGGATTCACTCCCCGGGTCGGGGAGATCTCCTGGAGGAGGAAATGGCAACCCGCTCCAGTACTCTTGCCTGTAAAATCCCATGGACGGAGGAGCTTGGTGGGCTACAGTCCATGGGATCTCAAAGAATCGGACACGACTGAGCAACTTCACTCACTCACTCAACTGCATTTTGTGTCTCTTGATTAACACGGTGTTCACTGATCAGGGGTAGTTCTCCATGAGTTACTAACAGCACCTCTGTCCTTGCCCATGTTGGGGAGGGCCTTCCATCGCCTGGTGGGCCCACCACCAGGTGGCCCCCCAGGGGTCTAGGCCGGGCCGGGTGGGGCGTTCGGTCCTTGGATTCCGCAGGACTGCGACCCCGAGTGACCTGTGTCTGTCTCCCCCACAGAACTGTCAGACCTTCAGCAGTCTCAGCTGCCTGAACACGGGGATGGAGGACCGGAGCGCCCACAGCCCCTTCACCCTGCACATTGGCACCACCAGGTCCTGGGCCGCCCTGCTCTCGGCCCCCAGCGCAGGGGGCAGGACGCCCGCCGGGACCCCGGTCCCCGAGCCTCCGCCCTCCTCCCTGGACGACCCGCTGGCCTGCCGGGAGGAGCCGTGCTGCGAGGAGCCGGGCACAGCCTGGCGGGACCGCGGGTCCCGCAGCAGCCCCTGTTCCCTGGATGGCGAGCTGGACATCGAGCAGATAGAGAACAACTGAGGGGTGGCGGGCCCTGGCCTGGGGCAGGGGGCGGGAGGGCACGTTCGAATCAATGGGCCTCCTCCTGCCCACCCCCAGGTGCAGCGGCGGGCCCTCCAGGGAGCCCCACCCCCGGGCCTGATCCGAGCTTCCTGTGAGGCAGATGTCAGGGCCCAGGAGCGAGCCCACCGCCTCCCCGAGACGCTGTCCTGCCCGCGGGGGTCCGGGCTGCCCCCCACTCCCCGCCCGCAGTGCAGCATCTCAGCCTTTCACCAGCATGGCAGCCCACGGAACCGCGGGGGCCGGGATGGAAGCTTCTCGGCTTCGGTCTCTCGCACCCCGTTCACTTGTGGCACATCGATGGGCACGGCGCCCCAGCTTTGCCCGCTGGGCAGTCTCTCGGCATCTGCGCAGGCCCGGGGTTTCCGCCTGAGGTCTGCACACTGGCGTCACGGGCCTGTCCGCCCTCCCGCTCTCAGGTTCGGGCCGGGGGCCAGCCCTGCGGCGCCCTCCTCCCCTCGAGTGTGTATTCCGTGCCTTCTCTCCCAGGTCTCCCGCTCAGGCTCCGGAAGGTGGGGGAGGCTTCATCGGTCGTTAACACCAGAACCGTTCGGCCTTAATTCCTGGTGCGGGCGATGGGGCCCTGCCTGCTGGGTAGACACCTGGGGTCCAGGGAACACCTCGGCGGGGGTTGCTCATTAGAGGCCCATCCAGTGGGGCAGAGGTGGCAGAGCCGTGAGCCCATCCTGTGGCATGGAGGTCCCAGCCCTGGGCTCTTGGCTGCTCCTGGGGGAGGCTGAAGTTGGCAGGGTCGGCAGCTGGCAGCTGCTGTCCATGACTGCCCTGCCACTGAGCAATGAGCTCAGTGGACTCCGGCGAGTGGAGAGACATCCCCAGAGGAAGACGGCCTCAGGGACAAGGGTCCTGTGCAGGTGCGCACACGCAGGCCCTGCACATGTTCCGGGGCCAGAGGGTGCCTGCAGGCCGTTCTGAGCCTGGCCATCTACCAAGCACAGCCTCGTTGGTTGGGGGGGTTTGGGGGGTGTCACCTCCCTGCTGCCGCCCCAACCACATGCACAGAGTGGGGTGCCCACATGCCCTCCTTGGCTCCCAGCGCCCCAGCAGAGCACCCACCCCGGTCCACGAGGAGCCCCGACCCCTTGAGGCTTCCCTCCTGGTCCGCTCCTCTCCAGCCCCACTTTGCAGACGCACCCCGCGGGCTCTGGCTCCCCCAGAATCTGGCTTTCAGCAGCTCGGCATCTTCCGCAGACAGCAGCAGTGGGGTCAACTTATGAGCAAAGTGGCTCCTTTTCCCACAAGGCTCAGTCCATCCACGCCTTCCCCTGCAGTCCGCTGCCGCGCAACAGAGGCACCCTGGGGGTCCCTTTGGTCCTGCTCACCTTCTGCTGACGGCAGAACCCTCAGGGCTTGCAGGAGCCGAGGGCACGTGGTTCTTTCTCTTTCCGCTGAAGAGAGACCAGGTTTAGGAAAACTTCTGGACATCCGAAGTGTGGTGGCTCAAGTTCTCATTTAGAGTTGGCTCTTCTTAAAACTCAGCTGTTAAGATGCTTGCAGAAAACCCCAACTCCATCCCCTGCCCCGAGATGGTGTCAGAAGCCACAGGTTGTAGAGCACTGTGGGTGTCTGGGCACTGAGCAGGTCCCGCCAAAGGGACGGCTCCCCTGGGGAGCCAGACCAGGTGGCGCGTCATCTTTGAGCCGATCCAGGGGACCCCGAGGCGTCCAGCAGCCGGTGCGTGGACGGGAGAGGACGTGCTGGCGCCTCCTGGCCTCAGGGAGCCTGGGTGGGAGGCATGACACTTGACCCACACCAAGAGTGGCCACAGCGGGCATGTAACCTGGACAGCAGTCCTTCCCCCGGACCTCTTTCCTCCAGGCCGGGAGGGGAGGCATGTGGTGGTGGGTGTCGCAGGGCTGTAGTCTGTGTGGCCCCCTCGGACCCTGCCAGCCACCCCCGACCCCTTCTCAGGCCTGGTGGCAGGGAAGGATGAGCCGTGGCCCCACTCACCCGTCTCCCTGTGGGCTGGTCCCAGGACCCACACAGCCCAGAGCAGGGTTTAGCCCTTCCCAGCCTTCTCAGGCCTCTCTTGGCCAAACCTGCCCCCACAGAAGCTCCCCACCCAAGCCCACGACAGCAGCAAGGAGGGGAGAGGATGACCAGTGACCCCTCAGAGAAAGAGGCAGCTGTGGGGTGGCTTCATGTCCATCTTCCCATCGGAGAGAGCAACCCCCGTCCGTCTGTAGGAGGTGCCGCCCGAGGCCAGTCTCTGGCTCTGCTCCCCTGGCAACAGGACTCCTGGTCTTGAAGGGGGACTCCTTCTGACCATCCTGGGGTGCGGGGTGGGGGACTGTCCCTAGGAGGGGCAGCAGGCCGGCTGGTGCCACCTCCCCGGCCCCAAACCTCACTTCTGCCAGGACTCTGCCTTGTGCAGCCCATGAACTCCTGCCTGTAAGGGGGAAACCGAGGAAATTCAGAGCCAGGAGGGAGGGCTGTGCCAGGCTGTCCGCCTGCCCTGGGGGCCCGGAAGGACAAGAGCAGGGTCGTGCATTTGCAGGGTGGGGGGGCTTCCTGTCGGGACGGCCCCCGCTAAAGCCACAGGACTAACGGGGGCCGCTGCCCGTCGGGGCCGGGCCGGGCGTCGGGGCGGTAGCCTCAACGTTTACATTACCGCAAACCCTCTTGCCTTACTCGCGGTGGAGGCCAGGGCCAGTGCAGAGCCCGCGGGCAGACGCGACTCCCAGGCCCCTGGAGAGCTCGTGCGGATTTTCACTCTCAGAAAGCCTTACTTTTCAACAAAATTTTTGTAGCAGGAAAAGTTTTGTGAATTTGTATACACCGAAAGAAATTTTAAAATAAAGTGAAAAGTCCACCTTAGAAAGCAAACGAACCCATCATCCACAGGGGGCCCCAGAGCCAGGTGGGGGGTGGGGGCGGCCTGTGCGTCTCCCCACATTCCGGCTGGCGCCGCTCGAGCCTCCAGCCCACGCTCTGGACGGACGCCCCGCCACGGGCTCAAGTCTCATGCACCCTGGCCTGGAGGCGGGTCATCTGCACGATGACCGCATCTGGTGGTACCCGCACCCCAGCTCTGGGAGCAGCAACCCGGCCAGGGCCAGTGCCTTCATGTAGGCGATGGTGCTGCCGCTTGCTGCAGCCTCACGGGTGGCCGGACCCCTCCCACTGGCGCCTCTTTAAAGAGAAAAGAAGAGAAAAAGATTTAATAAAAAAAAAAAAAAAAACCCAGACCGCAGCAGAGATCTTATACCTAGCTAGAATAGCCCGACCTTCTAGCATAGTCTCTTTGGCAAAGAAATTGTGTCCCAGTGTGGGGGCCCACGTCCCCGGGGCAGGTGCCTGTGGGTCGGCCGTCTCCAGGGTCACGTGTGCTTTCCCAGCAGCACCCATCGGCGCCCTGGAGCTTCAGGAAGCGTGGTGGCCGGAACACGGGCCGTGTCGGGCCTGGCCCCTGACCAGGCGAAGTGCTGTGTGGGGACGGTGCTGGGTCTGCCCCCCATTGCCACCCACCGCAGCCTGCCCTCCACGCAGGCCACGGCTGTCTTGCACTAGGGCCGCTCTAGTCTCTCAGGAATCTGCTTGTTACTTTTACTGTGTAAATAAAGCTTCCTGGTTCAGTACCCAGCTGTTGGGAGCCGGCTTTGTGCTTTCTGTTGGCGGGGTGGTGACGGGTCGGAGGGTCGTGCCTCAGCTCTGGGCTGGCACAGGCAGAGCCTGGGGCCTTTCTGTCCCCTCCGAGCCCCAGGGTCAGATCTGTAAAGTGGGGGAAAGCTGACATCTCAATGCTCTCAAAAGCCTCCAGTGCAGGAAGCTGTGAGCGACTGTGACGGGAGGGCTGGCCACGGCCACGGCTGTGATCCTGGGCACCGTCCCCCCCTGCTCCGGGGCAGTTATTAGAGTACGTGTGTGTTCCAGGCGGACCCCTGCTCCTCACTCCAGCCAGGAGCCAGGGACCCCCCCACCCTCTTTAATCCCCAAGTCAGGAGCAGTGAGGGACCCCTGCTTGTCACAGGGCCGTCGTGAGCGTGTCAGCTCAGCCCCCAGTGGCACCCAGGCCAGGCCATGCGGCCCGGACACTAGAGGGGGCCTGGCCTGGAAGTCCTGCTGGGTGCAGGGCCCCCTGCCCACGAGGGTACCCTGGGAGGCGACACAGGCCGGGCCCTCCCTGCCCGCAGAGGACACATAGCTCAGATCTGCACTGCTCGTGCCAGGGGGTCAGCAGTGCACACAGCTCAGCCCAGAGTGGGCTCCTGTGCCTGGCCCCCAAGTGACCCTTTGCTCACCAAGCTCAGGAGAGCATGATGCTTGCAGCCTTGAGTTCAGGCTTACGGAGGCTTGTGTAATTTCTGAGAAGCCAGGGTTGGCCCACGTCCTCTGAATGCAGAGGCTATGCCTAGAGATCTATTAGGTCCTAAGAACACCCCCCACCCTGGGAATGAGCCACCAGAGCATCCCACTCAGACTCGCCTTGTTTTCTGTTTAGCAGCTCTTCCTTTTTCAAACAGGCCCATGAACGTGCAGTTCACAAAGCAGGTGAGGCAAGGCTGAGGCTGGGGGTGGGAGGACCCCCATGTCCTCCCCTGGCAGCCTGTAGCCCCAAGGCCAGGGAACCAGGGACCCTGCCTCATGCTCCCCATGACTGGCAGAGGAGGCTCCCCCAGAGTGGCCCTGGACGGACCCATGGCCCTAAGAGCTCCTTACCTGCCCAGCTTAGGCCGCGTCTGTGGCAGGGCTTGGGTCTGGTTGCAGCATATCCCAGCTCAGCACCCCCCATGGAGCCTCCCCTGGGGCAGGGGCGGTGGGGAACACCGCCTCGAGCACAAGCTCCGGGGCATGCAGCTCAAATGCCCTGTTGTTGGGTCTGGCCCCGCAGAGGGCCACCCGCGGCCAACAGGGGCACCGTCCGTGGGCCACCAGGACGTAGGTTGCCTCTGAGCAGCCTCCTCACCTGCAGACAGGGCTTCTAACACTCCTGGGGCTTAAAACCCCAGGACCACCCTCCACGTACAGTGCGATCCCAACTGTTCAAACATTTATCTTCACGTGGAGCAGGGTGGAAGGAAAAGCACCCTAATGTTAACAGCGGTCGGGCTCTGAGAGGCTCTGGTTCCTGTCTGAACTTTTCTGTTGATGTTCCTACAATGACACATGTTGCTTTTATCATCTTATGTGTTAATTGCTCAGTTGTGTCCAACTGTTTGCGACCCCATGGACTGTAGCCCTCCAGGCTCCTCTATCCATGGTATTCTCCAGGCAAGAATACTGGAGTGGGTTGCCATTTCTGACTCCAGGGGATCTTCCTGACCCAGGGATGGAACTTGGGTCTCCCACATTGCAGGCAGATTCTTTACCATCTCTTCAGTTCACTCAGTCATGTCCGACTCTTTGCGACCCCATGGACTGCAGCACACCAGGCCTCCCTGTACATCTCCAACTCCCAGTTCACTCAAACTCACGTCCATTGAGTCGGTGATGCCATCCAACCATCTCATCCTCTGTCGTCCCCTTCTCCTCCTGCCCTCAATCTTTCCCAGCATCAGGGTCTTGGACTTCCCTGGTGGCTCAGCTGGTAAAGAATCTGCCTCAGTTTCCTTACCTGTAAAAGGGGGAGGTGACAGTGTCTGCTTCGCTGAACCCACAGCTCGGGGTGGGGGGTGGTATGTTCTCTGCCCAAAGCAGGGGTTTGCGGCTGCTGTCCCTCTGACACCCTCTACGTCCCACTTCTGGGCAGCGGCTTGCAAAGCGGGAACCACCAGCCGCCTTCCTCCAGGGCTGCAGGCCCCTGCCAAGGACAGCGGGCAAGGGTGGCCCATGAAAAAGGGCAAGATGAAAAAAGCAAACAAGCTGAAAGGGAGGCTGCGGGCCTGCTCCCTCACAGTCACCCTCCGAGCCCTGGTGAATCGCAGCCATCTCGTGCCTGCCTACGGCCCCCAGGTCATCACCTAAAGAGCTGGAATTAGGGGACCCCCTCCAGGGGCAGAGCATCTGCATATTTCCCAGCTAATAGGCCAAACCCCCCACCTCCCTCACAAGCCAACACCACCAGCCTGACCAGTGGCCTCTCATTTCCATGAGAAGACCCAGCACCATCTTTCTTTCTAATCCTGATTTAACAGGCCAGGGGACTCGGATTCAGGCAGAGTGTTTTATCATCACCTGCCTTTGTTTAATGGGAATCCTGTTCTGGAGGATTCATGAGTTCTTTTATGAAAAATCTCCCAAGATTTGTCAGTGGCTTCTGGATGGATTTGGGGAGAAACAGAGCAATCAAGTTATCCGTCCTGCTGACTGATTCTGCAACCTGAAACCTGGGCAGTGGGTGAATTCAGAAAGCCTGCAGCTCACCACCCTGAGTGGAGGCCCACACTTGCCCCGTCCACCTGGTCTCCATGGGGCCTCAATGTCCCCCCTCTGCTGAATGAAGGGCTTGAGGCAGGCAAGGTGTCTCGGGGTGCTGGCCCTCTGACATATAGGGGTTCAAGTTCAGGGTGGGATCAGGGACGGTCCCCCCAGCCCCAAGCAGTTAGAGCCTGAGTCACTGCAGGTCAGGGCAGAGTTTATTTCACCATTAATTTCCCGGGGGTGACAAGTCTACAGAGTTAAGGCTCCAGAAGGTACCTTCCACCCACAACCTGGCGTCCAGAGGTTAGAATTCTCGCGCTGAAGGACAGCAGAGTGGCCCTGGGAGCCACTCTGTTGTGGCTCCAGAGGTGATGGGATGGGAAGGGGGGCTGCATGGTTTGGGAGGTGCGCGGGGAGCGCTGAGTGCCCACTCTGACACCAGGTGGGGGCCGGAGCCACTGGGGTGGCTGGCTCCACTCTGCCTACAAGGACAGTGCCCGGGAGACCCCCGCTTCCTCCAGGCGCCTCCCTAAAGCGCAGGGACTATTCACTAAAAGACAGTGGGAAAACGCCTGAGTCCAATCAGGTAGCACATTTAAAGGACGTGGTGTGAATGGGGAGCGGGTGGGGTGTGAGCATTCAACAACTCTGCCCACCTCTCGACTTCCAGAGGGACAAATAGGGGACGGGCCATCAGTGGGGATCAAACTCCCCCCAGGAGGCTAGGAGATGTGTCTGGGGAGGGCGAGGGGAGAAGAGGGTCGGTAGAGGGAGACAGAGGAGGGGCTGGTGGCTCAGGGGCCCAGAACTGCCTGGCTGGCACCCTCTCGCCTGCCTGTCCAGGGCCGAGGGCAGCACCCTGGGTGGCCCGGGCACGGGGCAGGGTGGCAGGAGCGCCCGTCACTTGTCCGCGTGCTGCAGCAGCAGGTCCACGGCCTCCGCAAGGTTGTCCACATATCCATCAGCCTTGACTTCCGGATGGTGCTCGTCGCTGGGCCTGGAGGGCAGGACGGTGGGTTAGCCGGTCAGTAACCCCGAGGTGACCCTCTGCGGCCACTGCCTTCCCAGCATCCAGCGCAGGCCTGACCTTGCCCTCGGGAGGCTTCCAGGCCCTTCTGCACGTCCCATCAGGCCAGGCTGGCCTTGGCCGGTGCAGTCCCCGTCCCGTGCCCCAGTCCCGGCCGCCCCCACTCAGAAGCACCCAGGCCTCCCTCCACCCGGACCCTGAGCCCCTCCTGTGGGCAGCTTGCTCAGAGCCCCGCGGCAGAGTGGCGAGGTACAGGGAAGACAGTGAGTTCGGTGGGTGAGTGGGGGGGCAGCATCGCAGTGGGGGGCCAGAGGGTGGGGATGGCAGACAGGCAGGACCCGCAGGGATGTCCCCGGCCCTGCTGGCCCCTGGGCTGGCCTCGTGCTTGGCCGGCATGCATGAGGCTACAGCTCTGCCCCGCACGGAAGCACCCTTATGGGTTTCCCTCGGCAGAGGGCGGCCCCGAGGCCCGGCTCGCCGGGGGGTGCCCAGCCCCGACCCGGGAGGGGGCTGTCGGGGGAGGGGGATGTCTTCAGGCCATGCCCGCCCAGGTGCCGACACCCTGTGTGCCCTCTTTGTGCACCGCCCCCCCACCGCGATGGGGGGCGGGCAGGGCATCCTCAAAGCAGAGCAGAACCTCTCCCGTCAAACACCACCCTGAGTCTTCATCCCCAATCCTCACCGGGGCAGCTACCCCGGGACTGCCCACCTCGGACCTTCGCCAGCCCCCAGGCCAGGTTCACTATACAGTCGAACCAACTCCACCCCGAGGGGGAACAAGAAATTGGCCCATGAAAGAAGATGCTTCCTAATGAGATCTTAGGCGGGCCCACGCAGCATACGGTACAAGCCGAGATGGGTACGCGGCTAATTATGCTTAATTACATATCATTTGAATTCAAGAATCCATTAAAAGAAAGGATTGCATTAGCAGCTGGCCGCTGTTTGCCAACACACAGAGTAAATCGTGGACTTTCATGTCGTAATTACGTGACGCTGCCGTGGGCTGCGGCTGGCTCTCGGGGGGCCCCCACTCCGGGCCCGCCCACCCTGAGGCCTCTGAGGCTGCTATGCCTGGCTGAACTGGTCTGGAGAAGACCGCGGGCCATGCTGGCTGGTGACCTGTGACCCTCGGGGCCTCAAAGAGGTCACACTACAGAAGCTGAACCAAGAAGCCCAGCAGAGACGTGCCCTTTGGCAGAGGGAACAGAAGCGGAGGGTGATGGACAAAGGGGCCGAGAGACACCCCTGGCCTGTGAGCAGGCCCTGCTCGGGCAGGGCTGGATGTGCCGGGGAGGAAGAGGGGAGGTAGGAGGATGGAGAGGCGGGAGGACGGGGAGGCGGGAGGAAGGGGAGGTGGGGGGACTGGGAGGCGGGAGGACTGGGAGGCAGGAGGAAGGGGAGAGATGGGAGGACTGGGAGGTAGGAGGACTAGGAGGCGGGCACAGCTAGGTGGGAGGACTAGGAGGCGGGAGGACTGAGAGGCGGGAGGACTGGGAGGCAGGAGGAAGGGGAGAGATGGGAGGACTGGGAGGTAGGAGGACTAGGAGGCGGGCACAGCTAGGTGGGAGGACTAGGAGGTGGGAGGACTGAGAGGCGGGAGGACTGGTAGGTGGGAGGACTGAGAGGTGGGAGGAAGGGGAGGCGTGGGAGGACGGAGAGGTGGGAGGACTGTGAGGCGGGAGGATAGGGAGGTGGGAGGAAGGGGACGTGGGAGGAAGGGGAGAGGCAGGAGGATGGGGAGGCAGAAGGACGGGGAGGTGGGGGGACTGGGAGGCGGGAGGACAGGGAGGTGGGAGGATTGAGAGGCGGGAGGACTGGGAGGCAGGAGGAAGGGGAGAGGTGGGAGGACTGGGAGGTAGGAGGACTAGGAGGCGGGCACAGCTAGGTGGGAGGACTAGGAGGTGGGAGGACTGGGAGGCGGGAGGACTGGGAGGCGTGAGGACTGGGAGGCGGGAGGACAGGGAGGTGGGAGGACTGAGAGGTGGGAGGAAGGGGAGGCGCGGGAGGACGGGGAGGTGGGGGGACTGGGAGGCGGGAGGACTGGGAGGCAGGAGGAAGGGGAGAGGTGGGAGGACTGGGAGGTAGGAGGACTAGGAGGCAGGCACAGCTAGGTGGGAGGACTAGCAGGTGGGAGGACTGACAGGCGGGAGGACTGGGAGGCGTGAGGACTGGGAGGCGGGAGGACGGGGAGGCAGGAGGAAGGGGAGGAGGGAGGACTTAGATGGGAGTAGAGAAGAGACTGACAGGCAGACAGAGGGACACACATACCCAGGAAAAGAGGACGAGGAGGGAGGAAAGAGAAACCGAGTCAGAGAGAGAGAGAAAACAGAGGAAAGAAGGGGGGAGGCAGCAGCGGGCAGAGAGACCCTCAGGGTGGGGAGCAGAGACAGATGGAGGGAGGAACCTAAGAAAGAGAAGCAGAACTCAGAAACACGGGGGAGCAGACACCAGTCTCCCTGAGCACCGCCCCCCACGGGGATGTGGGAGAGGTCCCCTCTGTACCTCGAGGCTCGGCTGGGGCCCCCACAGGGGTCACGACTGCAACAACGCTCCCACCAACAACCTCCTCCCGAGTGGGAGCAGCCCCAGGCCCACGGAGGGCGGGCTCCCTGCTCTGTCCCCAACCAGTGTCTCCTCACTTCCTGAAGCCTCGGTTTCCTCATCTGTAAGGTGGGCGTGTGGCCTGGCGCTCAGGGTCACTGAGAATGAAGCGCCTGGCACCTCGCCTGCACGTGGGGGGCCCTCGAGGGGAGGCTGTCTTTGGCCGCTCGACCTTTGCCCTCTGCCCTCCCAGGGCTCATGGTCCAGTCCCACATTCAAAGTCGTGACCAGGGCTGAGAACGCAAGAACAGGGTGTGGGGGCTGAGGGAATTTAGGAGGGGATGCATAAACTGCCTGCCAATGCAGGAGGCGTGAGAGACGCGGGTTCGATCCCTGGGTCGACTGGCAACTCGCCCCAGCATTCCTGCCTGCAGAATCCCAAGGGCAGAGGAGCCTGGCGGGCTGCAGTCCGTAGAGTCTCAAAGAGTCGGACACAACTGAAGCGACTTAGCACAGCACAGAATGAGGGATCAGGGAAGCTCCTAGAAGCAGGGGCATGAGGCTAGATCCGGGCCCCTTCCATCCACGTGAGCGTGGCCCTCAGGTCCTTCTCTGAAGTTGGAGGCAGGGGGAGGCTCCCTGGGTGGCTGTGTGACTCAGGGGAGAGGGTGCCTCTGTCCTCCCGGGCTCCTGTGTGGGGGCAGTGGCCAGGAGTCTCTGGTTGAGTGTGAGCCTGGGGACCTGTGCAGATCCTTTCTCTCCTCGCCAGCTCCCACCTCTCCCTGGGTAAACTCCACTGTGGCTCCCTACTGCCCACGTCACAGCCCAGCTCCTCAGCAGAGCAGACAGGTCTGTCCTAATGGGATGTCCTGTCAGTCACCTGGCATCCAGGGCCCACCCCTCTTCAGACAGTCCATGCTCCCCCGCACCTCTGTCCACACTATGTCCCAGGATGGCATGATCACCAGGTCCTGCTCCACCCGCAAACTCCTACTCATCCTTCAAAGCCTCACCCACCTGCTCCCATCTCCAACTCTATGCTTGGTAGCAAGCTGCCCTCTTTTCTGAGCACCCAGAACTTGCCCCCCACCCCCAACTCCCATACCATGCTGGCCGAGCCCCAGCGGACCTGGGCTTTCTAGAAGGAGGCGCCGGGCTTCCTGCCCCAGTGACCACCCACATGGGCCACACAGGCCCCCAGGAAGTGTCTGCCGACCAGTAGATGAACAAAGGCCCCCACCCAGCGGGGCACTGCCTGTTAAGTTATTCCGCCCCCTCACGCCCGTGAGCGAGGGAAGGAGGCAACGACAGAGGCCGAGAACAAGGCTAATCTGTGTCGGCCTGGACAGCATCACACGGCCCATCTTTGTACCGGCCCACCGAAAATGGCATCTGGATGCCCAGCAGAGGAGCCCAGCAAGGAGAAGTCGCCATGTTCCCCTCCCCTCCTCCCTTGCTCCACTGACCAAGGGGACCTCCCTGCGACATTCTTGAGGACACAGGGCCACCCGCCCCCACCCTCCCTCCGCCCCAGCCCAGGTCTGCTCCAGGACAGGGCCGGGCAGAGACCAGAGGCCATGGCGCTGCCCGTATGGGGCACAGTGTGCGTCCTGCTCCGGATGGTTTTGGAAGCGGCGGCTACACCCTGGGTGGCCAAGGGCCGAGTGCTGGGGTGGGCCGACCGGCCACGTGGATTCAGGGAACCGGGCCCTGGCTCCAGGGCGAGTGACCCAGCCGAGGCTGACGCCAACTCGGGTCTGTGCTGACGAAGTTGGAAGAAAAGGGCAGAGAGGGCTTCGATCTGTGGGCCGGAGGTGACGAGGCGGGGCTAAGGGTGTCTTTCCAGCTGAGCCTCTGGAGTCCAAGACCCAGGGGCCTGAGTACCTGTTCCTGAGATGGTACAGGCCAGCACATGGCCTCCTGCAGATGCCAGGGAGTAGATGCCGGGACCTGCTTCCACCTGCCCTTGTCCACTTTCTTCTGAGGGTGATGAGATTCCCATCACCGGCCATGGTCGAAAGATAGATGGGACTTCCCACAGTCCACCTGCTGACCCAGGACGCTTGCTGTCCAGACGGTAGTTTGCTAGGACCCAGAGGGGCAAGCCAGTGATCCCCTGTCTGCGCCAGCTGCTGGCATGTGTGACCTCATGGTAGGGTGGCCTGGGAGGGTGCTCCTGGCCACAGATCTCAGAGGTGGGGTGGGGCAGGTGGGGCAGGCCCAGACCCAGGCTGTTACCCCAGGCGCCTCCGGGAACCTCTGGTTTAGTCCTGCTGCAGATGGAGACACCTAGGCAGGAGCTGGTCTCTGCCAAGTCCTGCCTCACACGGGAAGTCTGACCCCAGTCCCTGCTTGCAAGGAAGCCACCTTGGAGACGAGGACCCCAGCCCTCCGTCATCCTGCCTGGACTGGTCATGGGCTCCAGG